AGCGGGGCGGCCGCAGCCAATGGGCGAGCAGCTTCCATGGGGCTTGAGTGATTAGGCGGCGGCGTGGAGCCGTCCCTCAGCAGAGAGCTAAGGGGAGGCCAGGAGACCAGGCAGCCATTTTTCTGCAGTGGAGCGAAATGGCCAACTGGGTTTTTCCTTTGTTCCAAAAAGGGGGAATCCGCCATGTGAATCCGCACCGTCCGCTTGCGGGGAGCGTTTGGGGGTGGTGTCAGTGTCTAGCACCGCGCTAGAGGACTCGCTGAAGAAGGAAGATTTATAAAAAACAAAACACCAAAAACAAACCTTAACAAACAAAAAAAAGGCGGATTTTTTTTTTTTCTTCCCTTACGAATCGGGATCCATCTTTGTCTTGTGTAACTAGGTCATGGCACACCCTATGTCAGCAGTTAACAATTCCGAATGCCAAAAAAAAGAGTAAATACATCATTTTTAATATTTTTTCGTTGTTTTGGGGGTTTTTAAGCTTTGTAGAGCTCTCTGATGACTGAACAATAAATCTCAGAGAGTGTTTCCTGTACTAAACACTTGATTCCTGGCCATTTTTATTAACTCCTTTGGTGCTTATAAGGTAATGTTTTAAATACAGGCATAGGAATAGCGAATTCTGGCAAAAAAAAAAGGCAATTTTAAATTTTACTATGCTAAGCTTTTTTTCTTTCTTTCCTCTTACGTTGTAAGTACCCAATGCATTCTGTCCTTGCTAAGTGTAGTTTTCATGTTAATGTTACCGAAGTGGTCCTTATTGCTAAGCCTTCATTTGCATGTCTTCTGTTTTTGTCTGTTTAACTAAACCAATTTATGCTTTCTGAACTTTTTTACTTATAAAGCAGAATACCTAGCTAAGAAATGCTTAAAAGTTGTTTATGACCAGTATATGTTAACCAGGTGTTTCCACACTAACGTGCAGCCTAAAAGTTATTTAGGAGAACATTTTCAGTGTCTGTGTGCTCTGTGGAAAAACACTGAACGTCCTTTTTTATGTACAGAGTAAATCTGCCACAGGAAGGTAGATTTAAGCCTCGAGTAGGAGTCCTCGCTGCGTACAGTCAACATAGCTGGACAATTTTTTTTATAGTTTTTTTTTTTGCCTTTTTTTTTTTTTTTTTGCTGCTAGACCACTGCCATACAAAGATCTGTAACTTATCTTAACAAGATCCGCTTTGACTTGCAAACTTACGAGAGAAGTGGTGATACAGATCATATATATTTATAGCCGTTATTTAAAAAAAAAGCGTTAACAACTTCACCTTCAGAGCTGCATTCACCTATGGTGCGCGGGTAAGTAAACCCTTTTGCCCTTGCAGAGAAACATATAGACCAGGCCTGTGCGGCTAACGTTATTGTCCTGGGTGGAAAGATCCTAATGGTCGTCTCTAGGAGCGGTGGCGATCTCCTTCTCCTCAGATACATCTAACAGCGCCTCTGAAACGTCTGTTTTTCAGGGAGGGATTTCTGGTTTTTCTGCACAAAGTGCTTGGTCGTCCGCAGCCCTGGTGGGTTGTGGTGGTGGTGGTGGTTTTTTTTGCGGAGGTGAATCCATTGCAGGCGTAACGTGGCTTTTAAATTAAATGCACACACATAAAAAAAAAAAATAGAAATCTGCCTGCGAACAGTAAGATGTTACTGAGGTTGATTTTAAAAAAGGCGAAAAGGCGGTGGTGGTAGGGATCCCTTACATGTTTTATCCGTCTAATTACAGAAGCTCGACCAAAAAAAAAGGCAACAAAATGGGGGGGGTGTTTTTCAACACCGTCTTAATGGCGGATGTCTCACTAAAAAGCACCGTAAAATCCTTCATACCGAGAGGCAGTGACTTGGAGAGAGGGGGGAAAAAGGAGGTCTGGAAGTAAATCCAAAATGAGGGAGTTTCCTTCCAAGTGAGGGACCCTTTGCAGCCTGAGTTTTACAGTTGGAGAGCCGTGATGCAGTTGATATTCACAGCGGTTGTGCTTTAGTGCAGCCACCCAGCCCACGAAATGGCCTCCCCGCCGAAGTCTGCTGGCTTTATTATGTGAAAGCCTGCGGTAGCACCGTGTCCCGGGCGCCTGGAGGGGCGGCTGGCGGCGGGCAAGGCGCTCCCGGTCGCGCTCCATCTTGTGTCAGGGTAGCCGCCATCATGGCTTCTCCTTCGGCGCCGCGTTCTCCTCAGGGCTGAGGCGGGCTCTCCCCCACTGCCTGG